GGTTCAAGCTTATGTCCTCCCCAAACAGGACCTTGTGATGCAATAAAGGAATTAAGAGAGCAAGCCCCATAATAGAAGGGAGCTTTTAACTCCTAACTATAAAGCAACTTCCACTCTTGGATTCAAGAACATTTGGGGAAAACCTTCTGTTATATTTGGAAGTGTTCTATAAGTTTATTTCCTTTTTATTTTTCTTTTAAAAACAGAAACCTTTTGCTCTTTAGGCTACTATGATGATTAAAAAAGTAAATCATAAGGATATGTAGAGTGATCAGTTGTGATTGGATTAATACATAACTTTCCACTTGTCAAGTCATAAGAGGTTTTGAGAGAGATATTTTTATTGTGAATTAAAGGAGTGTGTGTGTGAGTGTGTAATGCCATAATTATGGGTCGGTCTCTAGTAATTAGAAAGTTTCATGTGGTGAAGAGTAAGCAAATTGGTTTAAGTGGATCATTAGAAGAAGAAAACAAGTTGAATTTGTTTGTGATTTTGATGGCAGGGGGCATCAAAGTAGTTTGGTACACTTAACAGTTTATTCTATTTATAATTGTACAGGTTCTTAGTTTTGCAACATTTAATATACAGTTTATATATTTATATATGTTTCAGGCTACATTATTGGAATTTTGAAGACATGAAAACATCAGATGAACCAACCTGCAACATCTTGGATTCAGATTGGAAGATGAAGAGAAAGTTTAAAGAATGTGGCCTATAAAGGCGGGTAGTACCTGGAAATAGTAACCAACTCGCATTGTAAAAATGAGACTGGTTTCTAAAGAGTAGAGATTATTTTAGTCCAACATCAAGGTTCAAGACAAAATGTTGAACTAAAAACTTTACCCCACTCCCCTTCCCCACTTCAGACAGGTACCAGCATTAAGTGAATATGATTTTCCTTAGCCAGAAGCACTCCGCTTTACCCATGTAGACCATCCTTAGGAATTAAATATTGGTTATTTAATGTAGATTATAATGGGAAACTGATTTTTTCCACAATGGCAGATTTCAAGGACTTGGTTCCAAACTGAGCCGGAGCATCCCACTGCATTTTGTACAGTCTGGGAACAGCTATGCTGCACTGGCCATTTTTGAAGGCCATCATGCCCTGTAATATAAGGATATCATCTTCTTGCTGATATCTTTGGAGCGTCCCGAGCAGACACAGAAAATGAATGGAGGCAAGGAGTGTGACGGAGGGGACAAGGATGGAGGTCTTCCAGCTATACAAGTTCCTGTGGGTTGGCAGCGCCGTGTGGATCACAGTGGAGTGCTTTATGTCAGGTGAGCCCTTATGACTACCTATGTTACCTCCAAGTTGCAGTCCCAACATTACGGAGGTAGAACCTGTTCCTCTGAGGGAGCAAAATGTTGTGACTGACAGCACCTCAAATAAATTTGAATAAATGAACTTTGTGCTGGAAATATTCAACTGTTTTTATTCTGCCCTATTTTGCGATGTAAATTGCCTTAGGTTACAAGAGAGAATTTTTACGCATTACTTGTGTTTATATAACGTGTCGCTCTGCTTATCTCTGTAACAAGGATAAAGAAAAATGAAGATTTCTAAAAGAAACATAGGCATCATTACCACATTCACAAGGGAATGTAAATACTAGAAATAGACCCAAGGTCCCTCGACAATGTTATTCTATCCTCCAGAGTGCTTCAGCTGGATTTTCCGAAGGAAGGTGGAGTGTTTATATTTATAGGCAGTTTTAATTAGTAGACTTCTTAAAGCCTTATATTAGGTACAAATAATTTTCCTATTTTTTCTGCACTGTTTTTAATCTATATCCTTGCATATTATAGTAAAAAAGAAAAGGTCACGATGGAGATGGCTCTTCATCTCTCACATAAAAATCATACAAATAAAATGCAAATGTCTGCTCTATAGAATTTTGAGGGCAAGTATCTCTTATAGAACAAGTTGAACGGAATAACTGAACTGTTGGCAAGAAGTTTCAGTCTTATTATTGAACTAGAGGCCTGATGCACAAAATGCATGCAAGGGTAGGCCTTCCTTCCCCCAGCACCCTCTGGCACCTGGGACCAGGGCTTCCCTCGCACCCCCTGGAAGGTCCTCAGGTCTAATTAGCATATTACGCTTTTATTATTCTAGATAATTGACACCTAAGTTCCTTACTAGGAAGTTTATATGAAAAATTAGGACACCATAAAATCTCTCTTTGTTATATAATAAACGACTACTAGAAATAGAACTTTTTAAAAGTTATCACGTCGCATCATGATATTAATGCTGTTACTTTAAATGCAGTTATTTGTATCTCCGCTTCAACGGAATTCTTCATTTGTTCAAAGATGTATTTATATGAATGAGGTATTTGCTGTTATATAAACATAAATTATTTCATGCCATAACAACTCAAAATTCAGTTCAGAGTCTGTCCTGCGTTTGTTTGATGTAAGGTGTTTCTGGAGGTAAACTTAATTACCAATTGAAATTCTCTGGCACATAAGTCTTTTGTTTCTGGGATGCTAAAGATGTGCTCTATATTAAGAGGAGTGAAGGAATACGAAAGCAGGGGATGTGGACCCTGTCCTGTTAAGATGGACACACGGGTCACTTTCTCAAGTGTTCTATTGCCGGTGCTGTTAACAAACTGCCAGAAATACTTGGTTATTAATGTAATATAGCAAGGTGTCAGTGTTACTGTTCATATTTATTATTGTTCTAGTCTGTAAGGAGCAAACATGTATCCATCTTAGAGTAAATGAATCTAGGATCTTGAAGATCTAATTTTTTTAACTTTATCTTCATTCCTATGAAAGATCAATCAGCTTTTCAGATTGCTGAAAACTAAATTAAAACAAGCTACTAAGTCTGGGAATCTGTCAGTTATCTTGTTCATGATTTTCCCTGTGTAGGTAGATTCCGCTATCTGTTAGTGTGAGTTAACGTGAGTTCTCCAAATCCAAGTCTCTGCACTAAAAATTATTTTGAAAAGTAACTTTGCCAGATAAGGTAAAACACCTTCAAATAAGTTAAGCCAGCATGGGTTTGATTTGTTTGTAAGGAGTTAAATTGCTGCTTGAACACATATAAGGGGCTCGCCCTCCTATAGCTCCCTTCTCATTGTGCAGTTTGCTTGTAATTTTTAGGTTTGTCTCCAGCTGCTCCTGCCTCAGGGAGGCGTTGAGGCTGCACATTAAACTTCCCACCTGCTTCCAATCTTCTAAGCATTATCCATGCCATAAGACTTGTAGCTGTTTTTTACGTTAATTATTACTTTAAAAAGTTAATTAAAGAGGTACAGCTGAAGAAAAGAGGCCAGCTGACTGACTGAGAGGAAGTGTTTTTGAAGTGTCTAGAGTGGAATACTCTAATAGAATTCAGGAACTCTTGTCTTCAGGTTTAATTTTACAATTAAATTCCTCTAGGATTCAGTCTGTACACCTTCTTTAACTGTAAAATGTTAGGCAATTTCTTGTCACAAAACTAATGAACTTTACACATGATAACTGTTGGGTGATTGTGTTTTATGTAAATTAGCAGACCTCCAACACCTCTGGTCATTACCACTGTCATGGAACTCAAGCCGATAACATGGGAATTATTATTTTTTACAGATCATTTGAAAAACGTTGTTAGCCTCAATAAGTGAATGAATTGACAAAGTTGAGGATTTTAATTGAGATTTTCTATATGTATAAGTCACTTACATGATTGTCCATAAATAAAACATGAATTGCATTTTAAAGTTGGTTCACTTGTAGATGCAAAACTGCTCCCTGTGTTTTTGTAGAAGCAGAATAGTCTACCCCTAGTAGTGTAATCCTTTGTATTATTTCTGGTCATATCCAAATTTGATCAGAATGTGTAAGTGAAGGTTTTGGTAAACAGTCATAAATAAAAGACCATTCTTGAATGAAAAGTGTGTAGTAATTTTCAAGGTTGTCAAAATCAGTATTTTAATAATAAAAGTCTTAAAATGCAAATTGCCCATTTTAAACTAACCCTCACTATGCTAGTAAATGAAAATCAAAGAAAATTAAAAATGAAAACCAAGAGTAATAATCTTGAGAGCAGTACCCATTTACCAGCCAGAAGACCCCCAAGGCACCGCTTTCTGCCACCTAAACTCCTCTTTCCTCAAGAGTCCCCTCATCCTTTGTCAGATCTGCTTGGCTCCTCTCTCCTTGTCAGTACCATTTGGCTCTTCAGTGTAATTTGAGTTGGGCCACACAGGTCTATCTTCAAAGAAACACATGGATGAGGGAGGAAAAAAAAAAGAAACCTATTTTTACATAGGGATGACTTGGTTCTGGACTCCAAGATTAAAGGAAAGAACTTGCTAGCTCCAACTTTTACACACTTAGTGACTTTCTGGTTTGACCTCCAATGTGTTCCTAAATTTCAGTTTTTCCTCCAACAGCTTCAAAAGTAGATCTTCTGCTTTAAAATGATAATGATTACTTTCATGTTGTTTTCTTGTTCCTTTCCTGCCTGCTCCTGTCGTCTTAAGAATAGCATTTTCTCCCATCCCAGTCCACGCTTGGTTTTCCAAATACTTTTATTTAATTTTCTAGGAAGGTCTGTCTTTTTCTGAGGAATATTTTGGTTCAAAAGAGAGAGTGATGGTGCTAAAAGGCTATAATTTAGCAGCTAGCATAATATTGACAAAGAGGATGCTTTTCCCGAGTAGGAAAATATTATCCTGTGAAGGACAGTAAGACTGTAAATTATGCCTTTTTTCATATGATATGTGCAGTCAGAATTATTTCCTGATGCTTTTTTGAACTATTTTTACAGTCCCAGTGGGTCTTTGTTATCTTGCTTGGAGCAGGTTAAAACATACCTGCTTACTGACGGAACATGCAAGTGTGGCTTTGAATCCCAGAGTCATTTTCAAAGGTGACAAACCTATATTCGTATTAAATACTTTATGAAAGCCATTTTTGCACATTTTATTAGAGCTCTACCTATGTTCACCATTTAATAGTGCAGTAGTTTTTCCCCTCCTGTAACTGCTCAATCTGCAATGTTATTTTTAGCACTGGTGTTGATAAATCTGCCACCAATGCTTCTAAAATGATGAAGCTGAACTGAACCTTCCTACTCAAAATGTGAAACGGTTTTACTCCTTTGCAAGGTAGAAAGTAAAAACTGTTTAAAATGATAAAATATTATTTATTATGGAAGCAGGTTCTTGTTCTCTGAGTATCTATTATAGTGCTAATTTTAGAAATAAAATTAACGGGCACCCTTTTTCTTCTTATTTGTGTCACCTTCACCTCATTCCAAAAAAGAAACAAGCATTTGAAACGTCTCATAAATATATACACAATAAGATTATTTTAATAGAAGAGTAGATGTTTAATAGGTGAAAAGGTAATATTAATATAGTAATAAAATAAAGCCAAAGGAAAAGTTAGCACATAGAAGTGTCAGCCTTTGGATTTTTAAACTGAACTTCATCTATTTTTGTACTGTTATAACAGCAGGAAATCTAACATCAGGGAACGTAGGTAATATACCTTTGCATATATTTATCTTGGCTATCGTGGAATTAGGATAATTTTCATTATTTACTGTGCCACTAAAAGCCGGAGTACTATTAAGTTACATAAAGTTGCTTTTCTTAAATAACTTGAGAAAGTTTTATTCATAATGATGGCCTAATCTATGTAAAGAAATGTTTTAACAAAGCAACTTTTTATGTTATGCTTTTACGACATGCTCTAAACTGAGGCCATTCTTTTTCCAGGTGTTTAATTTTGATCCGGGAGCTGCTGTGAAGCAGAGAACTGCAGAAGATGTTAAAGCCGATGAAGATGTCACAAAGCTATGCATCCATAAAAGGAAAATCATCGCAGTGGCCACACTTCATAAAAGCATGGAAGCCCCACATCCTTCTCTGGTGCTTACCAGTCCCGGAGGAGGAACAAGTATGTAACCTGGGGAAGGGTTTAGGAATCCCACCCACCCCCTCCTCTCCTCGGGAGTCATGGGAGATCACTTTGCCAAGCATTTTCCAAGTCCACTTTTTAAACAGGCACAATGCTTTTAAAGTTATGAATGTCTTATCATTTTATAAGTAGCAAACTCATTCTGAAAAATCCCATGAAGTTGTTTCCCAAAATGTCCTATCCAAATCACCTAGTTAAACAATTAGAGTCTGATTAGCACATGCACATATTATGGGGGTATGGAGCTGGGCTAACAAAAGAGAAAGTGATACAGATTTTTAGGAATCAGAGGTAGCCTTTTTCTTAAGGTTGTACTTGAATGTGTGGTATCAAATCCTTAAATGCAACTAATAATATTTTTTAAGAACTAGCAGTGTTATTTTTTCTGTCATTTTATAGCTATTTATTGAGCACCTACTAGTAGATCTTACCTTTTTAGGAACTTTTTATACCTCCCCCAACACACCTGTATGCATGAATGCATGCTTTCATATTTTTTTAAAATTTCAAAATGCAGAAAAATTGCATGAACAGTTTATTGAATACGACGTACCCTTCATCTAGATTCACCAGTTAACAATTTTGTTTTAGAAATTGCCATGAAAATTGACCCCTAAATAGTTCAACACACACAGACATTCTCCTCACAAACCAAAATCTAATTGTCACATTTAGGAACTTTAACACTGATATAATATTATGATACAATATTATCTAATATGTAGTCTGTATTCAAATTCCTCCTGTTGTCCTAATAATTTCTTATAGTTATTTTTAAACCAAGTTTTCTTTTTTAATCCAGGATGCAATCAACGATTGTACACTGCAATTAGTTGTTCCATTTCTTTACTCTGCATCAGTTCCCCATCTTTCGTTCTTTCATGGCACTGACATTGTTGAAGAGTCCAGGACAATGTTAATAGGACGTTCCTCAGTTTGGATTTGCCTGATTGTTTCCTCATTTATATTCAAGTTAAAATTTTTTTGCTAGGAATACTGCACAGGTGATGTTATGTCCTCTTCAGGAGGCACATAATGTCAATTTATCCCATATTGATGACATTAAGTTTAATTGCTTGGGTATAGTTATATCCATCTGATCACTCCATTGTTAAGGTACTTTTGACCTTTAAGATTAATATGTGATCTGTGGGATTATGATTTGAGACTGGGGAACTTCTTTTTGTAATGGCTAGTATATAAACTCCCTCCAAAATATTACAATCTACTTAGCACGTGAATAGTAATTCAGAATAAAATGTGACTAAGTGCCAAAGTGTTTGCTTCTGAAGGCTAAGTGATGTTCTGCAGAGCTCTAAATACAGATGACGAGTGGCCCCTGTAGTGGTCAGAGAAGGCTTTACAGCAGAACTCAGATTTGAACCAACCTGGAAAGTTTCAGGATTTAGAAATATGAGGGAAATAAGAAAATTCTTGTCCAGAATGAGTAGAATCGATAATGTAGAAACTAATCTGACTTGAGGGGAAGATTAAGCCTGCGTAGGTAAGCTGGGGTCACATTATAGACTTACAAAGAGGAGCAGTTGTGACATTGGACAGGTAAAGATTGACACTCAGCACTCATGTGAGGAGGGCGGGGAGATAAGTTAGCAGCTATGACCAGAGAGCTCCTTCCCAATAACCTCTAACCTTTACGCTTGAACAGGAATGATCAGAAAAATGTTGCTCCACTGCGGTATGTAAGAAAAAACAGTCTTTTAAGGGATTTTTTTTTTCTTTTGATGAGCTACATTTTTTTTTAATTAAAAACAAATATTACCACAGTTTAAAGACATTTAATAGTAATAAATTATATAACATTTACCAATATCTTGCCACCTCAACGTAACTATGGTTTCACTTTTGTATATGCTCATATCTGCTGCTGTCTCATATCAAACAGTTTTACCTCTTTTTACATTCTGCCTTGTTTCCTTTTTAATGACCATAACAGAGTCTTGATTTGGTTCTCAACTTTTCATATCTTAACAAGTTTCATTATTAAAAAAATAAAGATAAATATTTAACTGGAACTGGTTTAAGAGGCATATCTCCATCCACTCTTACAATGGTATACTTGATTGGATTAATTGCCTCTTTTACTAGCTTCAGACATAATATTTATATCAACTTCCTAATTTTATGAAATTGATATCTATCTTAACATTTAGAGTTTTGTTTCCGAAGAGAACACAGTCAATCCTGTAATAAGGCTAACACAGGTACCTGTGTTCCTACCATGAGCCATGCCTAGTACCCCAACTACTTTTCATATATTATTTTTATTGCAAACTTTGAAAAATCTCTTTTTAACAAGAAAATAAGTTCAGTTGAGTTTATCTGCTACAATTCTCTTATATCATTGGTTCTCAACTTTTCATATATTATATTCAGAAATTACTCTATCCAGAATCTTCACCATGCTAGAAACCGAAAGCCCACATTTCCAAAGAAAAATATATGTTCACTGCAATCTCTTACTTTTTGAATGCACCCTACCTGGATTTCATTTTTTAAGGCGAACCACTGTCTTAAAAAAACATTATCTGATTTGATCTGTATACTATCTCGCAGGTAGGAGAAGTATATTTATCTTAGATGTGCAAGTATCCATGTAAGTAAATGTACTTCTGATTGCAAATGAATCCAGGTGTACTTGCCAATATGTTGTAAGTCCCGGAATGGGGATGGCCAGCATATAGTATGAATGAAGCCACTCTAACCCCTGTGCCTGTAGTAGACTCAGTGGCATTTTCTACAGAGCCCAGCAAGGCTCAGCATCCTTTCCATCATAGCCCTCTAATCAGCCTCCACCAGCTGAAGGGACTTGGCCTAGGAAATCAATTTTATCTATTTTATCAATTTTACTATCCCTGTTTTACAAGGTACAACTTTATAAAATAGTGAAACATCCTTAGGGGCTAAAAAACTTGAACCTAGAATTCCAACAAGATAAAGTGAAAGCTCTGTCCAGTGGGCCAGCTTGCTTTTGTTGCCTGTATTCTGTTGATCTCCAAAGGGACTGAAGGGACTCCAAAGGCCAGTGAGGGAGAGACGCTCTCTGTAGGAAGAGGAATGGCAATTAGAACCCAGTACTAAAGATTTGGCAGTTTAGATGTTGCATAGGAATTCTATCCTAATAAAAGAATTGCAGCCTTTTACCTGAGTTGACTGGCTAAAGTTGTTTTTACAGTAATGACTGGTTAACGTCAAAGAAACTGCAGTGTTAGAGACTTGATTGGAAGTTAGGTGTGATTGCAGTATCACTGCATTTACCATTGTCATCACTCCCATTATAAAAGATTGTGAACTCCATTCACTTAATTCACAAAAATTAAGACTCTTTTACAGTGAAAATGTTGGGATACAGAAGCGTTTCTATAGCTGTCCTGATGAGGTTTCAGCAAGATAACAGAAACATTTATAGGGCAACAGATTTTCTGGTAAAAATGGCATTCATTTAAATCACCCAAGAAAATATGCCACACAGATAATAATTTTCTATTGTAACTGTGTTCCTAAAAATTTCAAATTCAACAAGATAGCAGCATCATCAATTCTATGTGGGCTGTCAATCTTGATTTTGCATATTCTAAATAGTATTAGAATGTCGAATGTCAGTATGAACTGATTCAGATTTTCATTCTTTCTCAACAGATAAGAGGCAAACAAGCATAATGAGCAGTTAATTGAGGACCTTTGGCCAACTAAGGGAGAATAATGTGCACTTTTAAATCAAAAATTAATGTAGAGTGGAGAATTTCTAGTTGCATGGAGGCACGGCTTCTATTTGCAAAGTTCTATTTCCAGCTGCCCTCCCTTCCTCATTTCCTCCCTCCTCATCCCCCACCCCCAAATACAAAAGAACTGAGATGACTTAACAGACTTTTTCTTTTTCTTTCACATCAGATGCGACTCCAGTAGTACCTTCACGGGCAGCAACTCCAAGATCCGTAAGAAATAAGTCTCATGAAGGAATTACAAATTCTGTAATGCCTGAATGTAAGCATCCTTTCAAGTTAATGATGGGATCATCAAATGCCATGGGAAGGCTCTATGTACAAGAACTGCCTGGAAGCCAGCAACAAGAACTCCACCCCGTCTACCCCCGGCAAAGATTGGGCAGCAGTGAACATGGACAGAAATCTCCATTCCGTGGCAGCCATGGAGGCCTGCCCAGCCCAGCGTCGTCAGGATCCCAGATTTATGGAGATGGCTCAATCTCTCCGAGGACTGACCCACTTGGAAGCCCTGATGTTTTCACAAGAAATAATCCTGGTTTTCATGGAGCTCCCAATTCCAGTCCTATTCACCTGAATAGGACTCCTCTCTCTCCACCTTCAGTAATGCTACATGGTTCTCCTGTACAGTCATCCTGTGCAATGGCTGGAAGGACTAATATACCTCTTTCCCCAACCTTGACTACAAAGAGTCCAGTAATGAAAAAACCAATGTGTAATTTTTCAAATAATATGGAAATACCACGAGCAATGTTCCACCACAAACTACCCCACGGCCCACCTCCCCCTCCTCCACCTTCTTGTGCTCTTCAGAAAAAGCCATTAACATCTGAGAAAGATCCACTTGGCATTCTTGACCCTATTCCTAGTAAACCGGCGAATCAGAACCCTGTTATCATTAATCCAACTAGTTTCCATTCAAATGTCCACTCTCAGGTACCTGTGATGAATGTAAGCATGCCTCCTGCTGTTGTTCCTTTGCCAAGTAATCTCCCTTTGCCAACCGTAAAACCTGGTCACATGAATCATGGGAGTCATGTTCAAAGAGTTCAGCATTCAGCTTCAACCTCCCTGTCCCCTTCTCCAGTGACATCCCCAGTGCACATGATGGGGGCTGGAATCGGAAGGATTGAGGCTTCGCCCCAAAGATCACGCTCATCTTCCACATCATCAGATCATGGAAATTTCATGATGCCACCTCTAGGACCCCAAGCGGCTTGCAGTGGTATTAAGGTTCCACCCAGGTCACCGAGGTCAACAATAGGGTCCCCACGGCCATCAATGCCATCAAGCCCTTCCACCAAGTCCGATGGACATCATCAGTACAAGGATATCCCTAACCCATTAATTGCTGGAATGAGTAATGTACTAACTACCCCAAGCAGTGCCCCCTTTCCTGCTGCATCTGCCGGAAGTGGTTCTGTAAAGAGTCAGCCTGGTTTGCTGGGAATGCCTTTAAATCAGATCTTGAACCAGCACAATGCTGCCTCCTTTCCAGCAAGTAGTTTACTCTCAGCAGCAGCCAAAGCACAGCTAGCAAATCAAAACAAACTTGCTAGTAACAACAGTAGCAGCAGTAGCAATTCCGGAGCTGTTGCTGGCAGTGGCAACACTGAAGGACATAGCACTTTAAACACCATGTTCCCTCCTACTGCCAACATGCTTCTCCCAACAGGTGAAGGGCAAAGTGGTCGAGCAGCGCTAAGAGACAAGCTGATGTCTCAGCAAAAAGACTCACTGCGGAAAAGAAAACAGCCTCCTACCACGGTTCTGAGTTTGCTCAGACAGTCTCAAATGGATAGTTCTTCAGTTCCCAAACCTGGACCCGACTTGCTGAGGAAGCAAAGTCAGGGTTCTTTCCCCATCAGTTCAATGTCTCAGTTACTACAGTCTATGAGTTGTCAAAGCTCTCACTTGAGTAGCAATAGTACCCCGGGTTGTGGGGCCTCCAATACTGCTTTGCCTTGCTCTGCTAACCAGCTGCATTTTACAGATCCCAGTGTGAACTCCAGTGTTCTTCAGAATTCACTGACACAGAACATCCCTGTACGAGGGGAAGCCGTGCACTGCCACAACGCAAACACTAACTTTGTTCACAGTCACAATTCAGTCCCCAACCACCATCTTGCAGGTTTGATCAATCAGATTCAGGCTAGCGGGAACTGTGGGATGCTCAGTCAGTCGGGCATGGCTTTAGGAAACTCATTACATCCCAATCCACCTCAGTCAAGAATTTCAACGTCCTCCACTCCAGTGATACCAAACAGCATTGTTAGCAGCTATAATCAAACAAGTTCTGAAGCAGGTATGGTTTTCTTAGAAAAAAGTACCCAGAGGTACTAAACTTTTCTACGTTTTTTTAAAGTTTGTACCAAAATATTTATTATGATAAGCAATGATCCTCTTTCCCCATTGTGAAATTCTCATCATTTCTTTAGTATTTATAATGTTATTTACAGAATGCTAGGGATTTGTCTACTAGGGAAAAACAACAGCCATGGGGATTCCATTTGTTTCCGTTATTTGTTGTCAATCTGTGTCGTTTCGAATATCATTCAACTTTCAGTTGGTCGTGTAACCACTGGACTCTAAACTACAGAAGCCATAGAAGGCAGGGCATCCTGGCTTATGAGCCAGGTTCTTGGCTCTTGCAATATAAAATCTGTGTCCCCTAGCTTTTGTTTGTATTCAGGTAAATGAAGCTCATCTTGGAAAACCCAAAAAGGCAAAGATAAACGGATGTTCTGTTCTTGCTGCTGACCAGAAATAGGTGAATGGATAGGCAGAGGTAACCAGAAGTTGTATGAAGTAGAAAGCTGTCTTCTAATGTGTTTTCTTATCCTAGTTTGCTATCATTTATTATTATTTGTTTGAGAAAATTAAAAAATGGATATTGACTACTCCCTTTTTAAAAAGGGTAAAAATTTAAGTTTTCTAATAAAAAAAAGGCTTGAAAACCTGATTTCCAGAATTTTTGATCTTGATATTGTTTTACAGTTTTCTTGTAGAACTAAACCAGTATTTTTAGCATTGACATTTAGGTTTTGAACCCAAATTTATTGTATCTTTTCATCCACTATTAATGGAGACAAGTCTATTTAAAAGCAGACACATTAGAAAGAACTGCATTTTGTGCAATAGATTCCTCAGAAATTATTATTTTAAAAAAATGTAAAGAGGGAACTTCACCGAGACATCAGAAAACTTGACCATGAAAACATTAGAAAGAATACCCAAAAACACAGCACTAATGATTTGGGAGATTTGTGGGAAATGCCAGGGAGAAAATAAAAGGTGGTTGTTGAGACAAAATTCAAATATGAAAATAGTGGGTTTTAAAAACCAGAGTGCTTCTGAAAATGAGAAGACTGCTGAGGCGTCTAATAATAAGCTGCTGTACAGGCATGTGTAGATGGTATCGTACCGCCTTGCTGGGACAGCACTGTGACCTACATCTTTGTTACTGATGGTTAGATCAAGTGTTTCTTCCCAGTGTCACTACCTACACCTGCCATCCTCCACAACTCATGTTCGTGTTGTCTTGTTGTCAGTATTTAATGCAGAACTATTCATTGGCCTCTTGTGTGAAAAAGAATATGAAGTGGAGAAGATAATTGAAATCATTAGTGCCTTCTTGGTAGTCTTAGTCTAAGGAATTTCATGAAACTATGTTTTGTGTTTAACAGGATACTTATTACGAATGGGCTTCTAGCTTTTCAATGACTCCTATTCCTTTTTAGATAATTCCACACAAATGAAAATTTAATCTTGTGCACTTATCAGATTAAAGTTACGTGAAATAAGAAACTATTTTAAATATTTATTAAGCATACTTTCAATCATTTATATGAGAATTGTTAGTTTCGTTGTATTATATCTTCAAATTTTGATACCCCTTACCTCAACTTACTTTGTTTCAGGTCTCAGTTCATATTGAAAAGTGTATGTATTTTATTAATGATGTATTTAAGTTTATATGTAAAGACAAACATTTATTTATATTCTTGTTTCATCTGGATGTCAATTGTAGACTTATTTTATATAGTCTTAAACATGTATTTTCTTGTTCCTCGCATCTGTGTAAAACATTGGATCCGGATTCCCAGTGTTGGGAGTATCAAAACACACAAGTTTAAAATTAATTAATGTAAGAAAAGTGCTGGCATATAAAAAATAGCTAAAAGGGGTAAGAATAAATGTCTAGTAATGATATGGATGTGACCAGTCATATGTAAGCTAACAGAGAGCATGTGCTTGATGAAAACTTAGGTCAGTAAGAATCTTTAAAATATCAAACTTAATAAAATTAAATACTAATTAATATACATAGATTGAATGTGCAGCTGGTTATGAAAATGAGTAGATTTACTAATTAATATAACTATTTTGATGAGCTGAACATCGAAGAGGTCTCTAATGCCATTTTTCTTTTTGATATGTAGTGAACTGTGTCACTGAATGTTCTGTCACTGTAATTGCTTACACTAAATATTTATTTACACTGAGTTTGTTCATCCATCCAATAAGCACCAGGCTGGGCATTAACATTCATAGTCAGACAGCAGATGACGGTCACAATTATCTCTGTAAGTTTTGCTGGATATTCCTAGCATACCAGTTAGATATTAGGTGAAAACACTTTATTCTTAAAATGTTACTTATAGCTATTATTAAGTATCTATTGATGTACCAGGTGATTTACCTAGATTATTTCTAACATATACAGCTTTCCAAAGCATAAGGCATTATTGTCCCCATTTTCCAGATGAGTAAATTGAGTGTCAGAGAACTTAACTGCCCAAGATCACATATAACTGAAATCAAATTTGAACTCGGGTTCATCGAATTCTATAGTTCGTTTTCTTTTCAGCTGCATAAGTTCTTCAACTGAAACATTTAGTGGTTAAAAAAAAAACTCTTTCCGCTTTCAACATCTTAAAAAAATACCCAACAGAAAATGAATTGAAGCATGTTACAAGCCACGTTTTTAAACTTGTGCCAACAGTCGGTTATTTTTGCCTTCTCTCTGTGGACTCAAATATTATAGTGTACAACAATTAGAATGTTTGTGTCAATGCTGGTGAATTGTGAAAAATATCAAGAGAACTACCCTTCATTTGCTAATCTAATTTGGTGACCTTTATTTTAATGAATTGGTATCATCTGACTCAGATAAGAATGGGTTTCCTAGTGGATAACATGTCATTAGACTTTTAAAGGAGGCGACTATGCATTTACTAGTCTTGTCATTCCCAGTGTGATACCCAGTGAGGGTAAGAGACTAAGGTAACAAAGGCCAGCTTTGCTCCACGGTAACGGAGCCTGGACAGAGCTCAGGTGGCCTCCTATGCAATCCAGAGCCCTTTATCCACTTTCTGAAGCAACAGCTCAAAAATGTTACATTAAGACATCTATTAAGACAAAAAATCACTTGCTCTCAAAATGCTTTATTCTATTGGTAATTTATTTTCTAAATCTTCATTTAAAGAGTTTTTCTATTACAAACAACCCAGGTACAGATTTTTATTTTTTAATTTTTTTGGCCTGTAAGTGAATTCTATGGGACACACTCAAGTATGGGAATTGGAGGCAAAGGTAATTTTTTTAAAAAGTCAGATAAAAGATATGAAATGCTTAGAAAACATTTTGTGAAACTTAGATATCAAGGCTTTATTAGTTTTATTTGGAGTTTTGAAATTGCCTTTCCACTGAAGCTCTCTAAACATTTGTATTGTAAAGTTTACAGGTTTCTGTTAGCGTTTTGGATATCAGATTTTAAGTAAGGTCTAATATTTCCATGTGACAGATCAAGAAACTGACCAGTAGGAGGTGGCAAAGCAAAGCTGTGGATCTGACCACCAACTCCCAAAGTTCCCTATCTCAGTGCAAACAAACTGCCGAAGGCAGGCTGTTCAGAGAGCCCTCACTCATGTACTTTGAAAGTAACTTCCAATGTATGAAGAGAGACAGGTTTCAGCATGTTTTGTGGTGGTTTGGTTTAGAGAGGAATCCAAAATCAAGTGCCCTTGACTCAAATTTCTCCGGGCCTCTGCTTCTGCCTCTGCCTGCCTGCTGACCTCAGAACAGAAACACACATGCCAAGAACCCGGGCCTCTGCAGGGACTTAGCTCCGTCAGTTCCCAGCCACCAGGGCCTCTGCGGGGACTCGGTCCCTCAGTGCCCACATTACAGCCAACACATCCTTTCCGTGGCCCTGTGGTTTTTTTTTCCAATTTTCAAAGAAACAAAAAGATTTAGACTATTCTGCTAACTTAACTGAACCTTGCTTTACTCCAATATGATAACGTCATTAAATACAACTTTTTTACTTTAAAATGCTTTTTATGTTCTCTTATTTTTCCCCTAATAAAATCATGAAATCAACTCATCTAAACACATGAAAATAAATTCTCTGAATGCTTAGAGTATGAGTTTGTACCAGAAGAGAAAATAACTGAAACATTTATTTGCCTTAACTCTTAAAGATATAAATTGACTATAAGAATAATACAAATAAACCTACAAATAAATATATGTTCATGGATATTTATATATATTTTTTAAACTCTGGAAAAGACATGTATTATTTCAGTATAAAATGCATTTGATTAAAACTCAGTATAACCATTGATATGGTAGGTATAAGAAAATGAAATAGAGACCACAACAGAACACTCTTGGTAAAAGACTGCAAAGTAATAAGCTTGTGTTTTTGTTGTTGTTGTTCTATATATTTATTTATTCTCAGAAGATGCCAGACAGAAAATAAAGGGAAATTGTCATTTCCTACATGTTATAGGTACAAAAAATTATGGGATAAAAATGCTCAAGGGTGATTATACTCTATGAGTTTATAGCTCTCAAGATATGGGAAGTTTGTGTAGAAATAATCTTCTAATCTTACATAGACTAATGTAGAGTGAAGAATGCCAGAGGCTCTCCTAAGGTCATGACTGAACATACAGTAGTTTCTATTGAAAGTATTTCCACCCAAAATTTTAAATGCCTAGATTTTATCATCATGCACAAGGCTTCTTAGGTTAAAAGTTGCCCTCTTGTTTTTTAACCAAATACCAAAACTATATTAAATTCTTGATTGTGTGATGATAATCTATGTCTATTCACTTGGTTAAATTTTGCAAAATGAGCCATTTCTTCTTTGTTGGAAGATACTTTTACAACAGACAATGGCTTGCTGCTTCAGAAGGTTTCCTAAATATCAGGGTTACACCACTTGTTTTGCTTACATATTCCAAGCTTAATGTTTCCTTGTGTGCAAAAGAAGGAGCTAACACGTGTTTTGCT